AGCTGGTGCTGCTGCTGTTCAGGTCGTGTTACAGAGCATTTATCCCAGTATGGCCATGTACAGGAGGTCACTGTTATGTATGATAGGGAAACTGGCAGGCATAGAGGCTTTGCCTATGCAACGTTCTCGAACAATGATGAGGCAATAGCCGCCATCAATGGCAATAATGTTATACACGGCAAACTGGTAATAAGGCTCATTGATCTCGTCAACTATTCAAGCTTGCTTCCTATCAACTTCTGGTGCCTATAGTTGGCATCCTCCATGTATATAAGCTATGACTGGTTTATAGGGGCTCGTTAGGTACAAGTGAAGCCTTCCTCTCGTAGTATGGAGCATGTTGGCGGCAATGCTTTACAACATCCTCCTACTACTATTACTACCAGTAGTACCTGCAGTACACAGTACCATACTGGGACTAGTAATCCGAAGACTGCTACAGCGTACCATCAGCCACAGCCACCACCCCAACGCCTCCAACATATATCACCCTACACGCGCGGTGGAGTAGGAGTAGGAGGAGATCGGCAGGATACCTACACTACTGGGTACTACTCCCCTCTCTACTGGGCACTGGATATACTAGGTTTGTGGTCAGTGTTGCACCATTTCAGATACCATACAGGCAAGAGACAGGAGATCCAACAACAGCTTGCCAACAGTCGTTATCATGATAATGACAGTAAACCCACCAAGAGTAGTCAGCAGCTTACTGCTCAGGAAGGTGGTGATGAGCTGCAACCGGTACACGACGACGCTGACCAACGACCATCACAACCACAACAGCAGCAGCAGCAGCTGGAGGAGGAGGAGAAGGAGGAGCTGGGGTCATCTCCATACAAGCAACAGTCCGTGCCTTGGGATCGGAGTAATTCGATCCAGGAGGAGGAGGAGCAGGAAGAAGGACAAGTGGGAGATGCTTCTGAGGGGCCTATCCCAGAGGCAGCAGCAGCAGCAGCAGTAGCTCCACCACTACCGCAACCGGGACATCAGCAGCATATCGTTATGCCACAACAACAACAACAACAGCAGCAGATGTCAACAACACTTCCACCTGGTATGTTTATACCCATGAATCAACAACAGCTGGGATATACACCATCATCACAGTATGAGGGTCTGGTTATGCCAAGTGTAACAACGTCATCACTACAACAGCAGATGCCACCACAGTAGTACATAGATACTTACGCCCTACAGCACATCCCCCTCCTATCCTTTTAGGTCCATGGTTACATACAATGGGATACCCCCCGAGGGAACAGCTAGCCCTCCTCTCTATCAGCAGGATATGTAACCGCTACTCCAGCATTCATACCGATACCTCCTCCTACTCA